AAATTCATCCTGTTAAAGTATATAATTCAGTAGTATTTAGATTTAGTAGTATTTAGAATATTCACTCAGTGTGCAACTATTACCATTATCTGGTTCCAGAATATGTTCATCACCCTAGAAAGAAACCCTGTACCTATAAAGTGGTGTCTCCTCATTATCCCTGACTCCTGGAAGCCACTCATGTACTATCTATCTCTATGGATTTGCCTATTCTAGACATTTGGTATGAGTGGGATCATATATGTGACCTTTGTATCTGGCTTTTTTCATGTACCATGATGTTTTTGAGGCTCGTCTATGTTTAGCATATATAGCGCTTTATTCCTTTTCTTGACTGGTATCCCATTGTGTGGATATACCACATTTTGTTTATCCATTTATCAGTTGATAAACAGTAAGGTTGTTTCCACCTTTTGGCTATTTTGATAATGCTGCTCTGAACATTCATATGTTAAGTTTTGGTATGGATATATGCTTTCAGTTCTCTTGGGCATATGCCTGGGAATAAAATTGCTGGGTCATATAACAACTCTGTTTTTAACTTTTTGAGTACTTACCAAACTGTTCTCCACAGTCACTAAATCATATTATATTTGCTTCACAATTTTACATTCCCACCAATCTAGATTTTAAGTTATACAAAATAACAAATGAAGTATCCTATAAATAAAATATCTAAGAACCAACATACTAAAATAGTTACTGTTTGTATTTTAATGTGACTTCGCTGAAGGAAAAAAAAATTGAAATTCAAAAATGAGTAACTTTCTGTTGTATCAGGTCATTTGAAATCCAGTAGAGGGAATTTAGTTTTGGGAATCCCCCTAAAACCTGAAGAATATTGTTTTTATCTATGCATGCCTGGGAACTTAGAGTGTTATGTTAATATTTACTTTTCCTGATGCCAGTGAAAACAGTAGCCTATAAATTGACACTTCAACCTCTCAGATTATACTGGTGTCTGAGCCCGTGTCTTGTTAGAAAAAAGAAACTGGCAGCTTCCATTATTGTTCATAAAATGTTCACATGTAGATTTGGCATACTGAATATATGACTGCATACTTGAATATGAAGTTGTAAGAACATGTTTTCTTTTTTTCATAGGTAAAACAGTAAATAATACCTTCATCAGTAACACAATGGGGAAAAATCTTCAATAGATATATAAAGTGTTTTGCATGAGTAAGCAAAAATGACCAGTTTTCTAGCTGAGATGATGCAACATATCATTGCAGTAATAGGAACAGTGCTAATTGACACATAAGTGTTTCTATGGGAATAATGCACCAATGTTTCTCACTTGCCCACTTTAAACTCAAGTGATTGCAGAGGAGTCCCTTTTTCTCACCAGAACCAAGCTAATTGTTCTTCATCCTCTTCTACTTTCATGCAACTGCAAAGTCAAGATTTTGTGACCCTGACTTCAGTCCCTACCTCTGACCCCTTTCAACCTGTCGGAGACATAGGGGGGGAGAACATGAAGTAGAGTTGGAGAGTAAAGCAGAACTAATTTGAGACCATGGTTCACTGACATTTACCAGCCAGAAGATGTTGGACAAACTTAACTCCTTCAGCCTCTCTGTTCACATTAAATTGAAGGAAATAATCATACCACTCTACAGGATTGTTGTGACCATTATTGACGTAACCATGCTTTGAAGATAGTATAGGCTACATAGGTGTTTGTTAAGTAGATTAAGTACCAGAATCACTGGCTGCACATGATACGTACTCAAGAAATAGCTATTGTTATCCAGTCACTACACAAATTCTTGACCCTTTTCTAGGCACTGGGGATACAGTCATGATGAAAACAGACTGGGTTCCTTCCCCAAGGAGCTTACATTCTAGTAGGAAAGACAATGAATAAATAAGCAAATTAATAGCCAGTCATAGCCTCATAAGAAAAGTGAAGTAGTTTATGCGGTTGGAAAGTAGGTGAGGGTGAAGGACACCCACTGTGGTGCTGTTTGGGTAGAGTGGTCTGGGAAATCCTTTCTGAGGAAGTGACATTTAAGTAAAATTGCTGCTCACATTGCTTTCTTTAGTATTTGCATCTTGACTTTTCCCTTCACATTTTGGTGGCTTTCTCTTATGCTCCTAACGTCCCTGTTTGCCTCAAACTTTGATTAAGGAAAGAGATAGTCAGGGATTTTTAAAATCTGTAACTCAGTATACTATGTAAAGGGTTTAAATGTTCCAAGTTCTGAGTTTATCTTTGTTCTGACTAAACATCCTTACCTTGCTCCCAGAGGAAGGATATTGGGCTGGCAACCTCATTGTCACACTGTGTTTGACCACCATAAGAACCTCTGTGAAGTTCATGTTAAGCTCAAAACAACAAAAATGTTCCTGGCTATCATTTCTAAGTGCCAGACACTAAGCAACAGGGCATGCAGGTGTCTTGTTGTTTAATCCTCACAGCTGCCTTTAAGAAGTAAGTATCATGTCTCTTAATTACAGGTGAGTGAAGAGAATTTATCCAAAACCAGACAGCTACTAGCGACAGGACCAGGACTCAAGCATAGAACTCGAAAAGCATCGGTTCTTTGTAGCGCCCTATCTGCCTGCAGTGATCATTGCCACTGTTCTCACTGACCCCACCGTTAGAAGAGTGAGATTGCGTAGTTTAAACACCGTGTAGTGCATATGTAAGGGATTGGTGCTTACTTCAGTTAGTAATTTTTCTGTCTTTGGTGTTAAGAAAATAAAATGTTTTTAAAATTCACCTTTAATTGAGCAACTACTTTTCATTCACATGCACTATTTCCCTAATACACACCAGGCACTGTTCTAGGTACATCATCTGTTTTGTGTGTGTATGTTAAAACATTTAATAAATACAGTAATCTTCAAAGATAGGTATTCTTTCTTATTTTATAGATGAGAAAACTGAGACTCAAAGTGTAAATATCCATACTTGGAAAGTATGTAGTGGAGCCAGACTCTGGTCTGTTTATCGCGGTGTCTTATCTACATCATTCTCCTTCACACAGAAGCAAAAAGATGCAGTTTCAGCTCTCCAGGAGCAAAGCCAGAGATACTGTCATTGTAGGCTGATAGATCTAATCATTTACATACACACGTTATAAATTTTATCTCATTTAATCCCCACAGTAACCTTCATCTAATGGTGGTAGTGGTGGAATGATGTAGGTGGTATTTTTAGTGTTAGGGTTAGCTCTTTGCCAAAATATCTGCCATTCCCATCAGACTGACAAAGGCCATCTGAAATATCAAACAAAATGCTATGGGAACCCAGAGGAAGATGGGAACACTTGCAGTAGATTCTTAGAGAGTACTTGAAGGGGAGTTTGATTCAGACATTGGGAAAGCTATCATTTAACCTAGGCTTTGAAAAATAAAACTAGCTCCTGTAAAGATCTCTAATGTTAGCACCAGTTGACAGAGGGTGTGTCTAAGAGGAGTAACTTGGTCGCATAGTCAACTTTGCAGAGTGGAGATTTTAATCTGGAGTCAGATGCACTGCTGTTGCACCACGAGGTCACTATAATTTGGTTTGCCTTCACCTAGTACCCTGATCCTTGTGTTAAACAGCATACTAGGAAAGAGTCATTGGCCTTTTGACATCTCTTTGTCAGCAAAGCGAAGTCCCTGAATCTGTTGGACTCCGACTCCAGAAACAAAGTGTGTACATTTAAAGGGAAAAGAGAAGTCACCAAAGATGAGGGTCAGGCCGGATCAGCCACTCCTTAAGAGTCAAAGGTCATGATTCTGCCATTGATCTTCTGTGTCTGTCGCCTTGGACCACACCCTCCTGTTGTTGTTGTCTGGTCACTCAGCCATGCCCAGCTCTCTGCATCCCATGGACTGCAGCATGCTAGGCTGCCCTGTCCTTCACTGTCTCCCGGAGCTTGCTCAAACTCATGTCCACCCTCCTTATCTGTAGAATAACATATAGGCCCGTGTTTCTCAAACATTTGCATGCATCTAAATTACCTGGAGGGCTGCTTAAAATGAAAATTGCTGGATCTGGGACGGAACCTGAAATTTTATATCTGACTAGTTCCCAGGTGATACTGATGCTACTAGGGCAGGGACCAGACTCTGAGACCCACTGGCCTCTTCTCTGAGATCTTGTTTCCTCTCTAATTTTATTTTAAAAATGATAGCAAAGAAATCACAAGATCTAGACAGTATAGTTTCACCTCCAACTAAGTATGCTACCTTGAGCAAGTCACTTAACATTTCTCTGCTTGTTTCTTCATCTGTAAAGTGGGGCTCACAATTCCCTGTGGCATAGGATGAATGAGTAAACTTTCTCATTTGAAGGAACCCACTTTTGCGAAGGATAGAATGAAAATTGTCAATTGTGTGTATTCATATGTTAAATGAAAAGTCTACCTTCATAGTGAAAAACAGTAGAAAATGTCTCTTCCCGCTTTTATAAAAAGAAAAAGAAGCTTAATTGCAAAAAGAAGTGTATTCACGGAGAATGTACTTAAAACCATAATGACCCGTGAGGGACCTCATCCTGTTTGGCAGGACCCCATCCTGTTTCCCTGACATCTATTTAACAAATTAATAAAAAAAAGAACATAAATAAAAGAGAGTAATAACTTAGCACTATCTCGGCACCTGAGTCTGTGAGTCCTTTAGGGCCTTGGCACCTAAAGAGAAAAGAAGAACCGACCCTGTTCTCTGAGGCTTTGAAAGTGGCTTTCCTTGAGGCATTAGGGAAACTCTGGGGGCCCTAAGAGCTGAAAGGCTTAGGTGCCTGGGGCATGAGTCTGTTTGATCCAATAAAGAGCCAGAGAAAAAAAATGGCTGGTAAGTAATTTTGCTGTTTCATTTGGTGCAAAAGAGAAGGCAAAACACCGGACTATTCAATGAGCCAAAGCACAGAGTGTGATAGGATGTGAATGCAGGCTGACCCCTTCTCGAAAACATTTCTGAGCCTGAATAAAGCACTCACTTTGAAGGCTAATGGACAATAGCATGCATTTTAAACCGTGATGACCCTTTTGTTTTTCTGATAGGCGAAGATGAGGATGAATTTGAAAATTTCATGCTGCCTCTTACAGTCTCTTTTGAAACAGTATTACAGATACTCAACAACAACTTTAAACAAGAAGATGTAAAGGTGGGTTTGTTTCCAAACATGAGGGAAGGTGATTTTGTTCATTCTAGGACAAAACCTACGTGTAAACTCAGAACAAGGGCTGCAGGTCTGTGTGCTCCGTGCCTCATCAGTCCTCATTTCCCAGTTACCTGTGTCTTCGAGGTGTGCTTTTCATATAAGTACTTTTCTTATACAAATGGACTTTGAGGTTATCAAATGATTTCAGATTTTCAGCTTATGATTAGATGGCATATTTGTCTCCCATGGCAGTATCTTTTAAAAGAACATTTCTCATGGGTACGCCACTTTAAATGTCCCTATTCCCTCATCCACCCCTCACTGTATGTTTCAACATATTTATATGGAGGAATGCGCAAATGTATACATGCTAAAATACCACTTCTCTAAATATTTTTAAAACAAGAATTTATATAAATCAGGACTTTATTAAATGGCTAGGCATATATGTATAAATAGGAGCTGGTCTTGAAATATTGCGTTCTTAAACTGAACAAAGTGATTAGGATAACTGATAGCTAAATAAGGTTTTTATGTGCCTGTGGGAGCCATATTAGGATTGATTTGACAAGTCAGTTCAGCTGTGGCAACAGTCATAATATCTAAGACAACATTATGTTTTATTAGTAAAATCCTTAAGTGTGTAGCAAGCTGTTTGTGACAACACAGCCCCATATTTTAATATGGGGGATGGGGAACACAAGATCTGCTAAATAGGAGTAACATCTTCTGAAATTCTCATGCATCAGGGCTATATTAAATAGACTGACACTGGTTATTATTCTTAAAAGACTAATGAATATATAGCAATAATGTAGCCACCTTTGCTGGTGATACTTGAATCATGTTTACTGTTACTTGAGATACAGTGAAAATACTGACCATCATTTTGCACAGCTCCTCTTCTCTCTATCAAAAAGAAATATTAGCACTAAGAAGCCAAATAGAAGAATGATGGCCTTTGGTGATTATATAGTGTAGTTCATCTACTAAAAAATAATTAACCAAACACTGTACCTTTTTATTTTGAAGTAGAGTTTTTGAAATGAAGGTTTATCAATATGCAATTGTCATAGAATTTTAAAACTTAAAAAAAGATCTTAGTGATCTTCTGTGTGTTTGTAATGTTGCTGAAATTCTTCCCCAGAGTTTCTGTTCAGGTTAGCTTTATTTTTCAGTTGTCTTCCAAATATTTTTAATGACTGAAAACAAATCTTTGCAACTTTAAGGTGGCTATTGCTGCCCTTTATATCAGAAAAGAAGCAGTAAGATTGAAAAAGAGTATCTTTATAAAAATTACATTTGTCTCATTTGAAGATTTCATTCTACTCCAAGCCCGTTTTGATGTAATCCCATCTAGTTTGATAGAAACCATCTTCCTAGAGTCATTTTTAATGGAGTTCCAGCGATATATCCCTAAACCAGCAAGTTCTTAACGACCCTGGAAAGTGACTGCTTGATTACACTTTAACGGTATTTGCAAATAAAATCACAAGTAATTAAGGGGAAATCTCCAGGCTTTTGAGCAAGTTTGATGCATGATAACTGCCTGATTCAGCTTCATCTAGAGTAATGCTGTGTAGGCAACAGCTACTGAGATCAATAGCAACGTAATGATAGTGGCAGAATTAAGTGAGTAACCTGAGAACTGTGCCTCAGAATGCATGCAGCTGCCACGGACCAAGGCCACACAGTGCACTCCGTGCTTCCGTCCTAAATGTTCATCAAAAGACGCCCTGCAGGAAAATGGAGTTAGATGCTCTTTATTGCTGATCGTGTCTCTTGCCACATTTATCAGGGAAATTGGATTAGCAGTTGGCAGCTGCAGGTAGACAAGATTCTGCAGTGATTAAATATGCAGCTTGGCTGCATTTGTTGTGACAGACCTTTAGTAAATTCTACTGTAAGCACCATCTGTCTAATTTGTATAAAGAAAACTTGGTGCTTTAAGCTACCGATAAAGAACTAAATCTGTTGCTTTATCATAAACAAAACTTTTGCACTAAATGCTTTTAAATGTAATTTATTAGGTTAAGGCTATTTTTCTATCATGATGAATAAATAATACATGCAAAAGTGCTTTCAGGTACTTCATTTTGCAAGTACTAAAGATAAAAACAGTTCTGTTTTGTTCTTCAATAAAGTATTTAGTATTCCAATCCACAGGAGGTGATGCTGTTAAAATATCTCTGTGAAAATGCCGCAGGACTGCCAAATTCATTTAATTTGCAACCCTTACCAGGATTTTCTAACTCCCTGTTTATAGATATTTTTCAAATGCAGATTTCAGGATGAGCACAAACATTAAGGACCTACATTGCCAAATTGAAATATGGTTGTGAGAGGAGGAAATGCTGTAAAACTCCTAAATTTATAGCTTTGTTTTCTTACTTAGTCCTAATAAAATTGAAGAGAACATTGAATTTTTGTCTTGGGTTTTTCTTTTCCAAGTAAAGGGGAAAAGGAAGAAACTGCCATGACAAACCCTGGCTCTAAAGCATTAGTTCACAGTAAATGTTTCCCCCTATAATTGTACCCTTAGTAAAATACAGTCCAAAACCCTGACTACCCATGCATCATTTTTGATTTGGCCATGACGTCATCGGTTTTAAGGAAAATGAATGAAAACTTCTAGGAGGAAAAGGAGCAGTTAAATAGGAACCTGCTATCTTTAGTCCCTTCGTAAAAACTCCACAATGTTAAATTATTTAAAATCCTAGATTTTCAGCATGCGCACATTAAAAGTTTTCGCACTAAGTGCCAAATGTTGCAAACAGCACTTTAACAGAATGATTTTGCTTTGATCCCTGTAGCAGTTCCTGAATAATTTATCACAGGTTATTGCCTTAATTCTGGAGAGGGATAGAGCAATAAAGGCAGATGAAAACACTCCAGTTGAAACACCTTGGGGCCTGCTCATTCCTCTGACACGGCTCTTTTGTTGGAACTATTTAGAGGTTATTAAGATGTGTCTCCAGAATTAAGAGTATGCTGTAAGGATGAAGACAGCCATCTTAATTCTAAAGACAAAGCACAATGACCCTTCACCTTCTTTTTCTTTGTTGTTATTATATGGTAGAATTATGAGGATAATATTATAGCTGCCCCCAGTAGTGCCACTACAGTAAAGGGTCTGTCAGACTTTCCATTAGAAACCCTGTTTTGGGGGTCAGGGTGGAAGGAGTCGCATTTCAGCTGTTTCCCAGCCCATCCATCTCACACTTGGCACACAGACAACCGTTCACCATGCAGGAGGCTGAAACACCAAGCAGTTTCTCCGTGAACTATCCAAGAAAGGAATCCTGAGGATTAGATACCTCAGACTTGCCCCACTCCTCAGAGCAGCCTCACTTTACAAGGACCTCTCATTTTTCAGACTAGTCAAGTATGACTAGCTTTAGGAGAAAGGTAACTTTTGAAATAAACCTCTTTCCACTGTTTTAAATGAGATGGTAAATTGTGCCTCTTCCTCCCCTAAATTTCAGTCAGATCACCCCTCGCTTTCTGAGATTGTCTGGTAGCCTGGTTGAACTAGTTAACAGGTTTCCTTGTCTCGTACCAGACTGGGTATGTTTTGACTATCAAGAAAGTACTTCTTTAGTGTTGTTTGAGCATCTGTATAGATTATTTCAGTACCATTGCTGCTTTGAGGTAAAAAATTGAGCATAATAAATCTGTTTCTCAGATTAACACTGCATTTTCCTACTCAATTGAATCTATTGAAAACATATTACTAAATTGTCATATGCTTTCTTTGCTTTGTAGTAACATTTTCTAATATTAAATATTGATATATTTTCATAGATTTGAGCCCTTCTATTAACTTGGCATCTTTTAAGAAAGAAAAATTCGTGATAAAATAAACATTAACCTTTTTGTATGATAAGGATAGTCTAAAATATTTTTAGAGCCTTTTACACTAGACGCAAACTAAAACTCATTTTTCCTATTGACCAGTTTAGAGTTGAATGTTGAGTACCTGTGTATATGTGAAAACTTAAGATTATTTGAAGAGTAGCCTGTAACCTGTAAGTGTACATAATAAAAATAAAACCCGAAAAGGCCACTTTGATAGGAAGACTGCAAAGAGAATTAGAATAGAGTTGTTCAGAGAAGACTTCTTAGAAGACATATTTTGTTCTGGAAACTACAAGAAACATGGAAAGCTGAGAAAGAGGAGAAAGGTTCCAGGTGATGAAAATGGGTTCCATAAGAGGCAAAAAAAAATTTTTTTTTAAAGTCGCAATCATATGAGAGAACTACAGAGAGACTAGCCGATTATAGAAAAATAAGTACTGGTAAGCTTATGAAAGGAAAAGGAATAAGTTATATAAAGAAGCAGAAACAAACACTCAGGGTTTACAGATTCAGAAATTCAGATTACCATCATTCTGTAAGCTGTTACGCAGTATAGAAGCTGAATATTATTATAAAAAAACTTCCAGTTGTATTGAGTCACCTTTTAGGTATGGGGTATGGGAGGGCAGGGAATCAAAAATTACAGATCTTTGTGACAGATAAACTATTTCCAAATTGAAATTTTTTAGCCATTAAATGATGGTCAGGATTCACTTCCAAATCCTTAATGCTAATTTAAATGCCCTCCTATAGAGATTTTCATTTATTACCAAAGTATGAGGGAAAAGAAAATCTGACTAAAGAAAAAGTTCAGAGACCATTTTCTAGCAGAGTATTTCCACTGAAATCTTAAGAAATCACAGTTGCATATCTCAATTATCACACCCCCTTGTTTTGCAATTATGTTTATTTGTACTCTTTGTTCTGACATTCTAGCATCTGTTCATGGGCTTTCTTTCTCTCTTCCCAAACATCATCCTAAGGACAGCTTAATTAAGAGTCCAGAGTAAAATCAAATCTCTTTTATTTAAGAGTCAAATTTTTGTTTTGTTTTCTCTAAAGCTAAATATTTATGGAACACTTATGTATGTATCAGTCTCTTGTTAGGCATTTTTATATATATTTATTCCTGTCTCTACTTCTGTAAGAAAGACATTAGCCTTTTTTAGAGATGAGGAAACTGAGACTGATAAATGGCCTTGCTTTAAAGTCTTAGTTAAGACGTAAAGCTGGGTTTAAATGCAAGTCTTCTGATACTGAAGAACTCTTTTCCTTGCTTGGGGAATATGAGTGCCATTCTGGGTATGTCACAGTACCAATAGGTCATCTGGCCAGTTTTTGTTGTCCTAAGTTACTGAGAATATTCCTTAGTGATCTTTAAATGTCAGTGTGCTTTCAGGTTAGACTCCAGATTGCATAGTGGGACTGATTTCTTACAAGCCAATGTGGTTAAGATTTGTTTTTATTAAATAATGTCTAGACCGTGTACATTTCTATTTTGTGGAATTATCGGTCCTCTTTTTTTTCTAATTTGGCATTATTCAGGAAAAAATATGTTAATCTAAATGTTTCTATGCCACTGGAATTATGACTTAGCTCAATTTATAAGAAGCAGAATTGGTCAGCAGATCTGATGGTCTGTTTGCTTAAAAAGTCTATGGCTTTCTATAGAAAGAGATCTGAGCGAGACATTTTAGCTAATGAATCAAAATCAGATATGTGGTCATTATTGCCTGATTATTACTCCATCTGCTCTGTGCTAACGTGAAAATCAATTACTGTGTCTCTTTCCCACTGACAGCGTATGTTGATCGGGCTGGCAAGAGATCTTCGAGGGATTGCCTTTGCACTGAACACAAAGACCAGCTACACCATGCTGTTTGACTGGATGTATCCTTATTACACTGTGACAATACCAGCTCTGTGCACAGAGGGATGCCAGGCCCCTGGCTTTCATGTAATAGTATGGCACAGTAGGGAAGAGGAAACAAAGCTAAACGAACTAATGTGTGATCAGCTAAAAATTACAGCACAGTGGCAGCGCACAGATAACTGAGCACATCACTTGGAGACCCAGCTCCGAGAAGCCACTTTTTGGTGCCGTTAAAATATTGACAACTTAAAAATCACATCCCCAAATGATTGTTTATGTGGGGGTTGCGGGGATTCTTGGGCTAACATCTTTAAATCAAGATCAGTGAAGCCTACCATTTGGCATTTTCTAAGGGATTTGGATTTTTACGCTATCTCAAATAGCAGAGCTGATTTCACTTTTTCTCTTTGAGGCCTATTAATTTATCACACTATAGTGTTTCATCATCATGAAAACATTAATGGACAAGGGGGAAATAAATGTTTAGGATTTTTCATGATGTAAAATTTGAATTTACCGCTGCCAAAGCTTAGTAAAGACAGCAAAAAAATTAAGGAAACAAAATCCCCCCCACAGAAATGCCTCATCATTATGAATAAAAATAGCATGGATTTGGTGTTGGGCAGACCTGGCTTGAATTCCTAGATCTCCATTTGCTGTGTAAACTTTGGCAATTTTTTTCACCTCTCTGAATTTCCTCATCTAAAAAAAAGAGACATCCAGTATCATGGCTTATTGTAACCATAGAAATAGGCAGTGCACTTTGTGTTAATATAATGTCTAGAACATAATAGGTAATCATAGATGTTACTATGAATATTGTTTTAACAGTATTACGTGAATCCTCTTTGATCTTAACAGAAAGTAATAAGGTAATCATAGATGTTACTGTTAATATTGTTTAAACAGTATTACATGAATCCTGTTTGATCTTAACAGAAAGTGATAGTTTATGCAAGTTATGTAAGTAATGTAATGTTTTTCATGCCTTTTTGTTCAATACAGGAAACCATCAGTGCATAAGAGAAATTCTGTAACCTTAAACAACTTCATTTTTAAGTTACATTATTTCTCAGTTGCTCTTTTCAAACCCTTTTTATCAAACCTCCCTCATAAATTGCAAAAGCAATTTGTTAAAGATAGTCTTCAACTGATGGCACATTTATGGCAAAAACATAACAGGATCTGGGCACGTTTTAGGGAGATCTCCACATGTTAAAGAAATTGTTTGACATTAATTTGAATACTGACTTACATTTTTACTTCCTGTTAAAACCTACCTCATCAGATTTGTGTGTCCATAGACGGGTTAGAGATAAGAATTTCCTTCCATTGAGAAATCATATATGTCTTTGTACCAGCATACAAAGCACATGTGCAGACTGCAGACTTTAACATGAAAAGTCACACAGCTCTTTTAACGATGAAAAATAAATGAATTACATATGACTCTTCATTTCTCTAAACACAAATAGAAGCTCCCAAAGCAAAAACTCTAATTTATTTCAAAAATTACTAAAACTTCATTTTGGCACTTTAAAATTAATGATTATCTTGAAACCAACTACAATTCTAGGATGTCAGCAATTAATGCTTCATGTTTTTCTTATCAACAATCTTAACCAAGCGTTAAGAACGTTCCCCTTACCATCAAAGAATAGAAATATCTGTCATAATTGGTACTGCCTAAAATTTATAGAACATATTATAATTTAACTTTTTAATTAAGCCTTTTTCATTTCCTCACTTAGCTCCTTCTTTTGGGTACCTATCAGAAATGAAACTTTTGTCCAGCAGATGGCAGAAAATAGCAAATGGGAAAACCTTGAGACTTGCTGTTTTGTTTTGAACTAGAAAACACTGTCTCCTCCTTTTGCCCATAGACATCGATGTTATTAGGGTCAGGGGCAGAGGGCGAAGTGTCAGTTATGCAGGAAGTTATGTTAGATTGCCACACGAGGTGGCTTGGTACCGGCCTTGCTTATAATAATTGAGTTTCAGTAGCAAATCAGCTTCCTTGGGAAAAGGCCAAAGGCTTTTCATAATTGTATTGACAACAAAATGAATATGATAAATGGTGTTCATTCAGTTGAGGCAAGATTTATAGTTTTCCTTTGGGCAAGGGATGAAGAGCAAATATTTATAATAATAGTAAAATTTGTTTAAAAGTTACATTATTTGATAATTCAAAGAGCTTTATTAAAATATTTTGAAATACTTTAAGCAGTTTCAGGTGATAAAGTACAGATTCTTTCCAAAGTATTCTAGTAATACAAAAATGAGTAAGTATATGATTTTAAAAAAAGATAGATATGAAAGTCATTTATTCTTCCTGAAATATTGATATGTCAAACCATCAGTGATGATTCTCACATTACTTGCTGGGGAAAGTTTATTTGCCTTTTACCCACAAAAAAAAAATGTATGTTCTTTAATTTTCTGTATAGTCCTTAGCATGCAGAAGAAACATCCTGTAAGAGCACATGTCATCTTAAAGTCAAAATGCATTTTATTTATGGTGATTATTTGATAAAATGCTATTTTAGTGGTTAGCTGTTTAATTTAAAAACATTGCTGTAAACACTGACTGCACTAACTGGTCCACAAACTACACTGCTTGTCATTCTGCCCTTCCTAGCCTGGACTGCCCGGGACTACACAGCAACCGTGTTGGTCAGTTGTCCCACTGCTGGAGAACTGAAGAAGAATTATTGCTGCTGCTTTGCCCATATAGTGAGAGTGTAACAGCGAAAAGCATCTTACCTTGCAGTGTATTTAGTCACCTTGTTTAAACGTTTCCCAGATCAGACATAGACTTAAGTATCAAAAATCCAGCAGGAAATTGAAAAAAAAAAATGAAGGAATGTGTATGATGCTATTTCCTCACACTTATCGCTTTAATTGTCATAATTCTGATCTTTGACTACACTGTTTTCAGTCATGCAGTCAGTGCTGTTGATTAGTATGCATAAACATATTATACAAAGATAAGTCAAGACCATGAGATTTGTAAGGGGGGAGAAAAAAACTTTGAAATAGAACAGTATTAGGTTCCAGTCCTGATTTTACCACTTAACAACCTGTGGGGTTTGGGTAAATTACTTAATGTCTCAGAATCACAGTTTTCTCCTCCATAAAACAGGGCTAATAATATTTAATCTCTCAGGTATGTTATAAGAAGTAAGTGAACTATATACATACACACACACACATATATATACATATATATGTGTGCATATATAGGCTTAGTACAGTGTCTGGCACAAAGTAAATATACTCCACCACTATTGTGAGTTCCTTTCCCTAATATGGAGTGAGACAAAGCAATCCGATTTGCTCACCTACCCAGCATATTTCTCTAACTCTGCTAAGGTTCATGAGGGATGTAGATTTTTCTTAGATCCTACCCCCAAAATGAGCTTATGGTTTAATAGAGTCAGTTAGGTAACTACCTAAATGACTGTAATAAAATACAGAAGATGGTAAGTGCCATAAAAAAAGATATAAATAAAGTGATTGCATTTATCTGGGGCATCAGGAAAGGCTCTGTCAAGGTGAAGATATTTCTCTGAGTCTTAGCAAGTAAGTAGGATTGGACTATTGGAATTGTGAAGCAAGAGCTTTTCTGTTGGTCTAAGTACATACTTAGGAAGGAGAGTAGTGGAAAAGATGTTTTGTCAAAGATACCACTTATTTTATGGTTGGACACAGATTGTCTGGGACCCTTGACTATCAGAGTAAGGAACTGAAGAACTTACTCCATAGATGGTATAAAGTAATTAATAGTTTTGATTGACTAACAGAATCAGAATTGTATTTCAAGAAGAAAATAGTTAGCAGTGTGTTGGACAAACTGAAATAGGGAAGAAAGTAATCCTGAAAATATGCTATTCAGCAGGATTTTTTTTTTAGTACATTGTGCTAAGCATGAGAAATTCATAAAATGTTTGCTTTTTATAAGAATGAGTAAAGTGGATTGCTCATTAGAAGCTCATAATCTAGTGGCTGTAATAAATAACTAATAAACCATCAATGTATTGTAACAAAGACGCATGCCAAGGACCATATGAACTTTGAAGAAGAAGAGATTGGTGTTTGGGGCAAGAAGTAGATGCCCCAGGGAGGTAAAAGTTGAGCTAGGTGTTGAAAGATAGACAGGCATCTGCCAGAAGGCTTCCCAGCAGCACTTGCCTCCATGCACAAAGATACAGATGGTTCACCTTCAGGGACCACTCTTAACAGTACGCTCTGAACTGGCAGCCTATTTCTGTTCTGGAACCCCATCCCCACACTCCTGTCTCCTGAAAGTTTTAACAAAAGCTCTTCTCTTGCCTTCTAGTATACTAGAATGCTTTCTCTACTGTGAAATCTCAGAGAAAAAGAATGACATTTTTACTAATTTATACTTTCTTGGGGTCTAGCACATAGTAACTATTTAATGGTTGGAAGGATGGATGGGTGTCGTCAAGAAGCAAACCTCATGCTTTTCAGTTTTTCATGTTTAACATCTTATAAGGTAATAATAAATCATTAATCTTTTTTATTTATCTGGTATTGACCTTCACAATTCATTGAACAGATCTTTCTAGGTGAAAGCAATTAGATCAGTGCCACTTCTACCAAAGGGCTCCCCACTGTCTTCCTCCTATCTATATATATGTAGTTCTCACAAGGCCACTGGAAAATTAATCTCCTCGAGTGGGTTCTGATTCTCACCCTGTAATCTGAGTCTGAGTCTCACTCTGAAGCCTTTTAACCTCCCTGCTTGGTAGACCTCGACTCCGCCTTCCAGTAATCACTCATTTTCTCTGTGGCAGTCACCTCTGTCAGAAGCATATTAGAATTGGCCCCACTCTCATTCCACACAGAAAAGGGAACATCCTCTCATATCCCCAGGCCTGATCCCATAGTGAGTACAGTGTGCTCTGAAAAATATGATGGCCCTAATGTCTTAAGAATGCTTTGCAAAGGGACTTCTGGTGCTTATGATATTCTTAGGTTCTGAGATTTGGGTCTTTTCAGTCTCCTGATGAGTCTCCAGGTCCTCCCCACTTATGATCACTGAGTTTGTGCTCAGTGCTCTGGGCGGAATATTTTCTCATTTGTACTCCTCCAACACTGCTTCAGAATCTTGGTACTCAAAGCATTCCTCTTATGTGTTTACCACCCATACTGAAGCATGAATTCACAGGAATAAAAGCCCTGTATTACTTATCTCTGGATCCCTGGCCCCTAGCACAGTACACAGCACATAACTTTTACCATCTATTAAAAAAAAAAAAAACAGATTTCTAATCCATAGAAAAAATAAAACTAAGTTATCTCACAATAGCCAAAATAGAGTTAATAATCAAGTTTGTTGATTTTTGTATTTTTCATTTTCATCCAACTGAAACCTCACACACACACACTTCTTATCTCCCATCTCTGCCTTATTTGTAGTACTTTCTAATGTGTCATATTTGTTTAATTTTCTACCTTATTAGAATATAAATTCCATGAAGGCAGGGATTGTTTTAATGTTTGGTTCATTGATGTCTCTAGAGAGTCTAACAGTCATAAGACATTTATAGACTAGGCCTTCAATAAATACTTAAGTAAATTGTTTCTATATATTCAAATATAGCCATAATATGGTGTATCTAGGGGGTCAAAAGTATTGCTTTTTGCATTTTTAGGGAGCATGACACTCTTAAGGTATGAGGGCTTATTTTCATTGAATGTTTTGTGACGTATTTCCTGAAGCTTCAAAGTGAAATGCACAGCTTGAAAGAATGAAATAGGTAGGTCTAATCAAGGACACTACACCTCATGTTTACCACAACAGATATTTTTTGAAATCCATTTTGTGCCAGGTACCTGCATGCAATAACTGCCTGTGCACTGCTCTCAGAAAGCATATGATAGCAGAGATGAGGCGCTGTGATAGTACTAGGGTACCAGAGCCATATGCAGGAGACACTGTAGGTGTGAGGGATTAGGGGTGATATCGTAGAGGCTTCTTGGAATAATTGACATCTCTAATGAAATGAGGGACAGACAGGAATTAGCAGGAATATACTGGGCAAACAGAGGTCTTTGCTCTTTAGAAACTCACTGTCTAATGGAACAGATGGGTAATACAAGCAGTCAACTGTAATCAACAGTTTGTTATAAGAGAGTGGTGGTCAAAGTGCTCGAGTAAACTTAGATGAGGAAGAGATTGATGCCTTTTGACAAAAAAAAAAAAAGAAAATTTCACCATCCCAGGGGAAGTAAAACTTGAGCTAGATATTGAGATACAGTTTGGAATGTATTAGGCAGAAAAAACAGCATATAGAGGAATAGAGGCAAGGGAGAGTCTGCTTCAGTGGATTTGCTGAGAATTAAGAATGGCTGAACCATAGATAAGGGCAGGAGCACTAACAGATAAGACCACAGGTAGGCAGGGACCAGATAAGGACCTTGTTTGCCATGCCAAGGAACTTGAAATTTATTCCAAGAGCAGGGAAGAAAATCATGATCTTCCTCACCATGGAGGTCACTACACACAACACACAGGAAAGGAAAAATATGAAGTGATTCAGTTCAGCACTTTCATCTGAAACAAAGACAAGTATATTAGAAAACATGAGAAAGAGACAGAGTTAGGGATAGGAAAAGAAAAAGGGAATGATGGTAGTAGCATAGGAAGGGTTTTTTCTGCTGAAGTTTTAGGGCTTAATATTCTGTGTGCATTTGGTAAGTAGGAGGCCAGTTGTGGGTAAAGGACCAGTGGAGCTGAGTCAGAGTTTTCTGGGATCTGGTGGTCTCAGCCATGAACTTATCAGAGGCATGCAAGACATGTACTAACTATTGATGAGGATGTTTGAGAATTTCTCCTTTAATGTACATGGGCCTACTTTTAGCAAACTGACCTTGAGTAGATAGATTCATGCTACCCAAGCTTTTCTTTCAATAGTACATGAACCATGAACTTCCAAATGTTCAAGTTGGATTTAGAAAAGGCAAAGGAACCAGAGATCAAATTGCCAACATCCACTGGATCATTGAAAAAGCAAGAGTGTTCCAGAAAAACATCTACTTCTACTTTATTGACTATGCCAACAACAAACTGTGGAAAATTCTTAGAGGTGGGAATATCAGACCACCTGACCTGCCTCCTGAGAAATCTGTATGCAGGTCAAGAAGCAACAGTTAGAACTGGACATGGAACAACAGACTGGTTTCAAATAGGGAAAGGAGTACATCAAGGCTGTATATTGTCACCCTGCTTATTTAACTTATATGCAGAGTACATCATGAGAAATGCTGGGCTGCATGAAGCTCAGTTGAATCAAGATTGCCGGGAGAAATATCAGTAACCTCAGATATGCAGATGACACCACCCTTACGGCAGAAAGCGAAGAAGAACTAAAGAGCCTCTTGATGAAAGTGAAAGAGGAGAGTGAAAAAGTTGACTTAAAGCTCAACATTCAGAAAACTTAAGATCCCTGCATCTGGTCCCATTACTTTTTGGCAAATAGATGGGGAAACAATGGAAACAGTGACAGACTTTATTTTTTGATCTTCAAAATCACTGCAGATGGTGACTGCAGCCATGAAATTAAAAAGACGCCTGCTCCTTGGAAGAAAAGTTATGACCAACCTAGACAGCATATTAAAAAGCAGAGACATTACCAACAAAGGTCCGTCTAGTCAAAGCTATGGTTTTTCCAGTGGTCATGTATGGATGTGAGAGTTGGACTATAAAGAAATCTGAGCACTAAAAAATTGATGCTTTTGAACTGTGGTGTTAGAGAAGACTCTTGAGAGTCCCTTGGACTGCAAGGAGATCCAACCAGTCTATCCGAAAGGAAATCAGTCCTGAATATTCATTGGAAGGACTGATGCCGAAGATGAACTCCAATACTTTAGCCACCTGATGCAAAGAACTGACTCATTTGAAAAGACCCTGATGCTGGGAAAAATTGAAGGCGGGAGGAGAAGGGGCTGATAGAGGATGAGATGGTTGGATGGCATCACCAAGTCAATGGACATGAGTTTGAGTAGGCTGCAGGAGTTGGTGATGGACAGGGAGGCCTGGCGTGCTATAGTCCATGGTATCGCAAAGAGTTGGACATGACTGGGTGACTGAACTGAACTGAAAGCTTTTCTTCAAGCTATCATCCCGAATGTTCCTTGGGGCTACAGTGAAACTAAACAGCTGATTAAGTCAACAATTTTTAAAAAAGGAAAAAGAATGTGTGTAGATAATTTCTAAGCTGGGAGATAAATATGTGGGGTTTACTATTTACCATGCCCCTCTGGCACAGTGGTTAAGAATCTGCCTGCAATGCAAGAGACCCAGGTTCCATCCCTGGGTTGGGAAGATTCCTAGAGAAGGGAATGACAACCCATTCCAGTATTCTTGCCTGGAGAATTCCATGGACAGAGGAGCCTGACTGACTACAGTCCATGGGGTCACAAAAAGCCATATATGAATGAGCTACTAACACTTTCACCTTCTAATTTTATGTATTTTATTGATAAAAGTTATATAATTAACACCATTTTTTTTTCTTCAGTAATTTGATGTGCAAGAAACTCGGATAATAGCCATTCACATGTTTTTACCTTCATGAACTAAATTTATTTTCCTTTCCTACAATATTAAGTATAATGCTGTAAATATCATATGTTGCTTACATGGTACTTCATAAGTATGGCACACATAGAAGAAATGTGGATTCCTTTTTTTTTTTTTCTTTTTCAGTGGCACCAATTTTCAGGAACAATATTTCTTTTGACCCTTAAATTCTTTAACAGGCTTCATAACAGGTATCCAGCATATCTTCCTGTTCTTCAGAGGGCTATCGAGCTGTGGTATGGAGAGCCAGCATGTACAACTCCCATCTTAAAACTTATGGCAGAACTGATGCAAAACAGGTAAGAGGTATGATAGGCAAGTAGAAAAGTAATCTACTGTTTGGTAGCACGCTTCAGAAGTCAGACGTTGCTGCCTGGTGTGTGTGTGTTTAAGGCTTAGCAAGAACCCAGGAACCAAAATTTAAGGTGATCAGTGAAGACAATAGAATTAGAGCTACAAGGTTGAAACCTTTGGGGAGAAAGAATTAGGTGTATATGGGGACTCTGGCAACTGGGGGAGAAGTTGGAAGACCACAGCCATCATTATTTAAAAGATTCAAAAGCATGAAATGGAAAGAGGTGGTTTTAACTGTTTCACTGCTTTCTATAGAGGAGAAAAGGAGCTGAGAGGTCTGAGTTGAGATGCTTTATTTTGTAGATGAGGCTCCCAGAGCAGTTAATGGACATACAGTTTGTCGCAAAAAGCCCTGGGGATTGTCCCTGCTCTGACTTTTAAGGTATCCTTCCTTTGTGCCAAAATGCATGTATGTGGATGATTTATGCACTCACAATTTTTATTTAAATAGCAGCTACAACACTTCTCAGAAATTGCCTGGTTAACCTTGTGATTTGCACAGAGAAGCAGAGATTCAGGTTCTCTGCATATAAATATTAACAAAGGTGTAGGTAAAAGGGAAACACTGCAATGAGCTAATTGGCTTTACCACTTTAAAATGTGTCGTTATGAATGTGGCTTAGCACCAAATTACCTGTCGCGTGCGAGCCTGTTTCATCAGTTCCTCTCTGTAAACTGCATGTAGGAAGGGAGATACCCAGACAGGGAAGCAGTATGGATTGCATCTCTAATTTAATCTCTGGTGCTGAGTGTTTCACCACAATAATTTAAAAATTTTAAAACCAGAGGTGGAAAAAGACCTGGCAAATAAATAAATGTGAGTATTATTCTTTTGAAAGCTGTTAGGTTTTTTAAAAACTGTTCTCTAGGTGCCTTAAAGACTAAAGGAAGGGTGACTATATATTTTATATTAGAAATTTAATTTTTATTAAATTAAGTTTTTCAGCAAGATAATTAATAGTACATTACTGATAAAACATTTAATATAAAGGAAAAAAATAACTATATTGTATATCTGCCATAGATGGATAATTCATATCTAGCACAATTGTTCTCAGAACTACCTGGCAAAAATTTATAATATCAGAAGATGTTATCTTATTTTTATTTCTCTGAAACCTGATGTGAATTATGTGCATACATTTCTTTAATCGGAACTGTATGTGAACCATCAAATGTTTCTAATAGCACTTCTAATAAGGTATAACTGCACTTAATACTAAAGCATTTTGAAAACACAGAGAGAACCAGCAATGTATTCTGTTCCTTAGCAAAATATCTTTGCTTCCTGGTGTTTCTTTGCTATGATGTGTTTCATATTTTTACTGATCCTTTTAGAAATATACGGTTATTTGTTGAAAGCAGAGCAGCAAGGCAGATTAGAGCCAACTAAAGTCAAAGTGATGTTTAAAAAGCAAATATGATGCCAGGATGGCATATCAGTCCTTTGCCCTTTTCAGACTGTCCCCCAACCTGTCAGGAACTAAGGAAGTAAAATTGTTCTCATTTAGAACTTCTGGGATTTGTTTCTCTTTACTTGAGCTATGTGCAGTGGAAACTCTAGCCCGTATGTAATTTAATGTGTTTGAAATATGCTTGAAGTATCAGATGACCCATTATGCATATGAGCAGTATTAAAGGTACTTAGATTTCCTGTTATTTTATCATTTGTTTTAAAGATGTATATTAGGCACTACAGGAGACCTCAAATGTAAATCTCTATACAAGTATCTATATAAACTTACAGACTTGGGAGGTTTTTTTATCAGACATTTGCATGAAAGGAAAGGGGGCTAAGAGGTCTGTAATGTAGGATGTCAGGATATCGTTTCAACAGGTAAAAGGTGAATTATTTGAATGAGCAAATAAATGAAAATAATTGTATTATCCTAGTATCTTTAGTAAAAAATTAGCACATATATTTTGTCAATACTTGTTTAATGGAATGATACTTTTAAAAAGGGATAATTGTACTGTTGCTACTTCTAATAAATGAGAATTCTGAGTATTTTAATCCTACATTTTGTTTCTTTATCTGTACATATAGTCTAAATTTTTGCTGTATTTCTCAGATCCCAGCGTTTGAATTTTGATGTATCATCTCCTAATGGAATTCTTCTCTTCAGAGAAGCTAGTAAAATGATTTGCACTTACGGTGAGTATCCTTTTCCATATTTGTCTCTGCAATATAACTTTTATTCTCTTTGGAGGAAAGAAAGATGTTAGTTATTTTGTTCTTTTGAAACTTCATATCTGTATGAATTTGTGAAGTAGATAACAGGGATGCAAAAAGCCGGGTAGCTATCATATTGACATCAGGAAAAATAAACAGTGTGCCTTTGACTACAGATCTTGCCTGACAAACCTGATGAATTTCTTTTAGCTAAAACTTTAGTGTCAGTAGACAAAGGGAATACACGATAGATACAATATTGAAATAGAATATTGGAAAGTTACAGCATATTGAAAATTGCTAAAATTTACATTAGGGAGTTTCATATATTAGGTCAAAGAAGGCTTAACCCAGTGTGTCACTGACACTGAATTTGGGGGAAATATCCTGGTAAAGAGCAGTAAATATTTTAGGGAATTTTTTTTTCCATTTATTTGTATTAGTTGGAGGCTAATTACTTTACATCATTGCAGTGGTTTTTGTCATACACTGAAATGAATTAGCCATGGATTTACATGTATTCCCCATCCCGGTCCCCCCCACCCCCACCCCTCCACCCGATCCCTCTGGGTCTTCCCAGTGCACCAGGCCCGAGCACTTGTCTCATGCACCCAACCTGGGCTGGTGATCTGTTTCACCCTAGATAATATACATGTTTCGATGCTATTCTCTTGAAACATCCCACCCTTGCTTTCTCCCAGAGTCCACAAGTCTATTCTATACATCTGGGTCTCTTTTTCTGTTTTGCATATAGGGTTATCGTTACCATCTTTATAAATTCCATATATATGTGTTAGTATACTGTAATGGTCTTTATCTTTCTGGCTTACTTCGCTCTGTATAATGGGCTCCATATTATAGGGAATTTGAGGGCACTATACCCTTAGAATCAGCATTCTACAGTAATGATTGTCCTAGTCAATTGTAGTGGAAACAAAAATTGGTAATTTTTTTTCTGCTTGCCAACTCTGACAGCTTCACCAGTGGAATTCTCAACTCTCTGAGTCCTTTATGTAGCCAGGGAATGACACAATAGATAAGAATCATCAGTTAGTGTTCCACACACTGGCTGAAGACTGACTACAGGCTGGACTCCTTGCAGTATTCTTCTCCTTGAGAGATGTTTCCCTGGGTCCTCCTTTTCTTGGTCTTCTTCTCTTTTGCTTCTCTGTTCTTCCTTTCCCAGATCAACAGCCAACTCTATGTTTGGCTTCAGAAGTTGCCTGTGATTCTCATACTTCTTTTTGAATACCTAGAAACAGATTCTACAGAATTTTGTAAAGCTTCTGTTGTGTTTTCAGGGTATATCTAATTCCTTTTAGTGTCTTATCATACAAAGACATGCACCTGGGCCTTTTTCCAAAAGCATGATATCTTAGAAAAAACAGTTTGGGGAGATTAAAAGATCTGAGTACCAGTTCTAGTACCAACATGGATCAATTCCATGACCTTCAGCTAAGACACTCCTTGTCCTAGTTTTCTCATATATAAAATTAGAAATACTGAATACCTACTGACCTCGCTGTCTAGTTAGGATTGTTATGTTGGTCAGTCATGCTCGACTCTTTGTGACCCTATGGACTGTAGCTTGCTAGGCTCCTCTGTCCATTGAATTCTCCAGGCAAGAATACTGGAATGGGTTGCCCATTCCCTTCTCCAGCGTATCTTCCCGTTCCAGGGATCAAATGCTGGTCTCCTGGGTTGCGGGTGGATTCTTTACTGTCTGCTCCACCAGGGCAGTCTACAAGGTGCTTATGAGGATTCAGTAACATGGTGCATGGAAAGGCGTTAGATAAGTTAACTACTGTGTTTACTGTTATGAAGAAACTGAAGCTCATAGAGGTTAAAGATTTGCCAAATAATACATAGTTAGCAAATAATCAAATGGGAATTTCATTCAAAGTCTGTGTAACTTCAGACAGTAGTCTTTCCATATTCCTTTCTGCCACCTGGGAGTTGCCACATGAAGATTGTACCTAGGGTATTTTTGATGAAGCACTGTTCTTTAAAGTATGGTGATTTTTATCCTAAAACTTAAAGGAAATGAAGGTTCAATAGAAAAATAACCTTCAACTTTGTTACCAGTGACTTTGACCCCAGCACTTTATACCCAGAGTAACAGAAAAATCTTTCTCAGCTTTCATTGATTCCACATCAGCCAAGCTGACTTTGTCTGTCTTTATCTTGCGTAATGTTTCATTGCTCATGCTTTTGCCTCTGGAGATTCTGATGCGCTCACGGAAGGGGGACCCTGTGGTTGCCATCCAGGAGTCTGGGAGGGCACAGCAGAGCCAGCATTACGCATTTTCTGGGTGAGCCAAGGTGAAGGGGTGGAAACCTGTGGAGGAAAGAGATCAGAACATTCTGGGATCCCTTCTCTTCCCGTCCTCACTGGGTTTCTTCTCTGCTCACCTGTCGTGGGCAGTGTTTGTGCCATCGATGGTTGAGGCAGTGCAGGGGAGGACTTATTTCCAAATGCACCTGATTTGTTACATCTTTTGTGGAATACCTCCACCTCGCTGCTCAATCAGACTGGCAGAAAAAGAAAACTTGCGATATGCTGTTTTATTTATCTACATTCTGTCATGATATACTTTGATGTAAGTTTTTAATTTTGCTTCAGCTCTCAGCTGCTCTTGCAGTTACAGCTCAGGGTCAGCAATGAGGTTAGCCACAGTAGCACAGAACAATTTCCTGTTTGTGCAGCCCAGGTAACATTTGGATGAGGATTAGATTTTACCGCATTTTCTACTAGCCCAAGCCTATTATTTCTAATGAGTTTTAAATTGCTTCAAGAACATGTATTTCAAAATTTAGTGCTGTGATCCATTCAGCCTGAGCAACTTAATAAAAGAAATTTCTTTCTTAAATTTTTGGTTAAAATGTTACATGCAGTGTAATAAATGTTATTACTTTGGAAACCTACTTCTCAGTTTTAAGAACTGGATGTTTTTTATGCTCAATTTCCATTTGTCTGATCTTTTCTTCCCTTTGCCTCTGGGTAATGGTATCTTTAGTGACATCTGTTGGTTGAAGAGTGCACAGAAGGGAAAAATAGTGATTGTCTTTATAAGACTGGCAAGAATGGAACTGCTTTTACTCCTTCCTTAGGTGCCTGATTTAAGAAAGCTCAATGTGTAAAAAATCTAAACTTAAAAAATGGATAGAACAGCTATAATTATTCACTGTACCTAAGAATTTACATCAGGGTTCTTTGAGCAATAATATGTTGCAGGTACACTTAAGGTATGACTTAATACTATGCTTAAATTGAATTTGTAAAGTGATATACAAGCCACTGTTATTCACTGTGACCTAGAAAACAGACCAGTGGTTTTCCAACTGGGTTTTTCAGAGCCCTAGAGATCTGTGATAATACCACAGAGACCTTGCAGAGATGGAGGGGGAGAGGACCCTACTGCCACTTCAACCAGAACTGCAGCTATTTATTGTTACACTAGATTTATTTGCAATAGGGGTCACCTGCTTAAAGACACTTTTTGATAAAAAGAGCTTGAAAATTACTGGTATGTACTACTAGAAGGATTATGACTTATATTTATGTTTAAATGATTATAAAAATTTAGCTGAAGGATGTATTGGCCTTGAAATAATTAGAGACTTGATAAAATGCTACCAGGAAATAACAGTTCTGAAAAACAGATCATTCAGGAACCATGGATATAACCTTACATTCTCTCAGAAGCATGGTCAGGGACATAGAACAACAGAGTAGTAGAGTAATAAGCTCACCAAAGTTCTATGAAGGAGATGGAATGATCAGCACCCTGAGGGTGCCAGGCCTTGAGGAATACATTTCACAGTGAATCCACGTGTGTTGGACTTGGCCATTTCTGCACACAAGCAAAAAATGCTAAGCAAGTTGTTAAATAAGTAAGGGTGTTCTCCAAACAAGTACTTAGAGTTCAGTAGATTCTTTCATCCATGCTGCTAATGTTTATCAAGCGTTTACTATATGTTTGATATTGTGAGAATTAGAGAGGAAGAGAAATATACAAAAAAGAATCTTACTGATTCTTCTCTGAGTTGAGTCCAACAGTGGATTCAGTCAAGTCCATAAAGGATTATAACGCACTGTGCTCACTTTCGTGCTTAAGAAACATGCAGAGTGCTATGGGAGCCCAGAAGTTTCTGACTGAAGCTGAGGGGCCAGACAAGGAAATAAGTACAGGGCCCAGAAGTTTGAGGAGGACATTTCAAGCAGGTGATAGCTTCTATAAAGTCATATAAGTATAAAATATTAAAATAGTCTGTTACTAAAGTGAAGGATCTCAGAACTGCTGTAGAAGTAGAACTGAGAATCCCTGATTACCTCATCACTCAAAACCTTTTAACCGCTCAGTGTGCGCTCTTTCACACTTTTCTATGTGCACATATGCATGTATTATTCCAGAAGTGCTGTCATAGTGTACTTGTTAATCTGTAATTTGCTTTTTTATACTTATATCATGGCCATTACTTCATACTAACATATATATAAATCTACCATATCTCTTTTTTCCTTAGATTTTTCATTATTTTTTCTGCCTTGTCTTTTAAAATAGCTGCAAAGTATTCCATTTTATGGTCATACTATAATTTATTTAACTACTCACCTTTTGGTAAATGTAATTTTTATAAACATGCAATCTTTCACTATCATGCATTGTCTCAGCAAGCAACTGTGTACCTTCAGCTTCATGAGCATTCACTTATTCAGTAAGTATATATATTGAGAGTCGTGAGTATGGTTCCAGACTCTTGATATATCAGTGAGTACAACTGAAAAAAATATTATTTAATATGTCAGAAAGTAGTAAGTGCTGTGGAAAAGAAGAAGAAGAAAGAAAGCAAAGAAAGTATTAGAAGTACCAGGGATTGGGAAACATAATGCAGTATTAAGTACAGTGATCAAAATAGGCATCGTTTGAAAAAATGACATTTGAGCCAAGACTTGCAGTCAATGAGGGGGTTAATTATGC